GCGGGGAGAAGTCTGTCCAACAAAGCTCTCCGCTTTGGATACTACTGGCCAACCATGCGGCACGACGCAGTCACCTTCACCCAAAGTTGTCAGGCTTGTCAAAAGCATGGACCGATCCGTCATCAGCCGTCCGAGTCGCTTCATCCGGTCCTCTCTCCCTGGCCTTTTATGAAATGGGGAATGGACATCGTGGGAAAGCTGCCCGAAGCTCCAGGGCAGAAGGTTTACATGTTGGCTATGACGGATTATTTCTCAAAATGGGTGGAAGCTGAGCCATTCCGTCAGGTACGTGACGAACAGGTAATATCTTTTATTAGACGTAATATACTTTGCAGGTTTGGCATTCCGTCGGAAATCGTGTGTGATAATGGGTCCCAGTTCATAAGTGCAAAAACCCGACGCTTCTGCGAAAGGTACAACATCAGGTTGGAGACGTCGACTCCTAGGTACCCGCAATCCAATGGACAAGCCGAGTCTAGCAACAAGATCATTGTGTCCAATTTGAAGAAAAGACTCGAGAAAGCACAAGGCAGATGGGCTGACGAGTTACCCCTGATATTGTGGGCTGACCGGACGACTCCAAAGAATGCGACCGGACAAACTCCTTTCTCCTTGGTGTATGGCTGCGAGGCGGTCATACCGGCAGAGGTTGAAGTTCCATCTTCAAGATACGGGCTTATGACTGAAGAACGGAACAACGTCGAGTTAATACATGATCTTGACACTATCGACGAAATTAGAGAGAAAGCTAAGATCCGTCTACAATCTTATCAGCAAATGGTGGCAAAGAGTTTTAACAAGAACGTTCGGGCAAAGGTGTTCAAGAAAGGAGATTGGGTTTTGAGAAGAGCGTTCGGAAATGAAGCAAGCGGGAAATTCAGCCCTAATTGGGAAGGTCCGTATCAGATCGTCGACATTATTGGACAGGGGGCATATCGCTTGGAATCAATCGACGGTAAACAGGTTCCTAGAAGCTGGAATGCGGTACACTCAAAACTTTTCCATTTTTAAATCTTTTTACATCTTATTTAATGATCCGATTAGAGCGAGTCACTAACTTAAGCATCGGAGGGCCGTTGGCTAAAAGCCAACGGCCAGACATAACAAAACTTCGAAATGCAGGAAGCCAAGTGAAGCGCCGGGTAGGACCCTTGGATACGTCATACAGCCTGATAAGGAACATGACATCTCGGGTGTGACGGATCTGTCACAATAGCATGATTAGTTTGCTTGTCACTTTGAGGTTTGCCTTATCTTTCAAGCTGATCCTTGACGGATCAGTAGGTTTACTTTGGAAAATTTTCATATCAAGAATAAGTCTAAATGATTGGATTAAAATACGTTAGGGATAATTTAAATGATGTACCTCTAATCTTCCTTCGAAATATTCTGTACTTGTTAACCTGGTAAATACTTGGCTCACTTAAAGGGATGGTAGACAAGGAAGGTTGTGACATGTCAAAGGTATGGTGTGTATTTCGTTCTTAAAACACATGCATAATTGCTTACTGACTTAACCATCGGAGGGCCGTTGGCTCAACGCCGACGGCCAACTTTGACGGTTTGTAGTGAGTGCAGGGTCAACATGAGATAAGCGGCAGAGGACCAATTTACGAAGGATGGAAAGCATCAGTTACACCCTTACCAATTGGGTATTGTACATCAACACGAAAAAGGGAAAGGGTTGGGCTGCCCATGAGAGTATCATGGATTACAGTCCCAACCGGCCCTTACAACATACATGTTTTTGGCCAAACTCAACATACATGACATCACATATATCTACAGCACTAGTGCGCACACACAGGATACAAAAACAGACACATCAAAGTTTTTCACACCAAGCATAGCAAAATGAAAGTCAAGCCTTGGATAAACCACCAAGTGCACAGGCTTAAAGAGTCAAAAGTACATCCCGTCCTGGATAAACCACCAGGACACCGGGAGCAAGATCAGAAATGTTTTAGCAAAAGTATTAGAGGGTACAGAGCAACCTAAGCATGTTGGGAGTCAGCCTCGCCATCAGATTGTCCTACGTCGAAGCCGTCGTCAGCAATGGGAGGATCCATGTCCTCTTGAACCTTTTTCCAAGTTGCAATATCCTCCTCAGCATTCCAGCCAGACGACTCACCCGCAAGAAAGGAAGCCATAAGTTCTCCCCTCGTTTGCCAGACGTAGTAGCAAGCTGCGTCAGTGACTTCCTGTTTCTTTCTCCGACCATAAGCTTCCAGCACTTTAATCCTGTCGACAAGCCTTGAGATTTGAGCAGATTGAGCTGACACCTCCTTTTGCAAGTCCTGGACAAGTTTTGCATTTTCTTCTGCCAAGGAGCGAGCAGTCGACTCCTTATGCCTGGATTCGTCAAGAGCTTTCTCCAGCGAAGCCACTCTCTCAGCAGCAACCAGACTCGCTTGTAAGCTCTGGCAGGACATACCATCACATCAGGAGGCTGCTTACAAAGACATAACTAAACAAAGTCGTTTTACCTGAAAAGCGTAAGCCGAAGACGCAGACAGTAGTCCAGCTGGAGGCAGGCATTTGAAAACGTCTGGTGAGGAAGGAAGCATGAGCTTGTGCATTTCTCCCCTCATCAGGGACACGTCTTGTAAACTACAGAAGTCAGGGGAGAGTGACACCATTACATCCAATGGCTTGGAGGTCAGAACAGCTTTGATCTCGTGAGGGCGCGGTACGTTTGGTTTGGTTTCAGCAGCAACAGTCATCTTGGGGAACTTCTGGGGAGTGGAAGCTAATCGAGGGGAGATTCTTTTCTTCCTAGAAGCCAGAGCAAGCAGTTCGTGAGCAGATGGAGCTAACCGAGAGCTGGAAGAAGACGTAGCCACTGCAGCAAAGCAAAAGCCATGAGATGGGGTCATGAACAGCAATCGCAACACGTTTGGGCAATTTTGAGTCTAGAAGTATTTTAATACTTACCGGTAGGCAGAGGGCGAGAGTTGTTTGGGGCTGTCTGAGAACCTTCACCAACCGGAAAAACAACCTGCATAGGGACGTAGATGTCCGTATTCTCTTTGACATCCGCTTTGGAACTCTCCGACTCTTGGTCCGAATCGTCAAGTGAGACTACAGATGAATCTTGAATCAAATTAGGGGAAGTCTTCATACTGCGACCAGAGCGCCTTAACCCGACAGGTCTATCAGGAGTTAGAGTGGGGGGCATACCTGGCGATTCAGCTACCAGGCTTACGAACCAACGCTCTTCCACGGGGATGGCCTGAATTCGGGCTGTTCTTTCCTCTGATTTTGGTCCGTAAGGGATGGATATCGTTTTCTTCTCTGAAAGTCAAGGATTACGATTGGATTCAGAATGTAACATAGGCAATAAAAAAAAAAAAGAAAGAAAACCTTACGAACAAGCACACACATAAAAGCAGCAGCAATTTCTTTTACCTTTGTGCAGATTGTCTTCAAGGAAGGATCCTTCGTCACCCAGCGATTCTCTAAGGACGAAGAAGTACCATTGCATCCAGCCCCTGTCATTCGCTTTGTCTACCTTGTGAATGAGTCTGGATTTCTTCTCCTTTAGTGCAAGTGTGAATCTGCCAGGTCCAGAAGTTCGGAGTTCGTAGGTGAAACCTAGGTCTTCAAATTCAAGAGGGATGACGTATTTCTCACTCAATACCTCCAACGCCCGAAGAATCCTCCACACTTGAGGCATGATTTGGGAGGGCGACAAGTTGACGAACTCCAAGAAGCCCCGGGTCAGGGGAGAGAAGGGAAATTTCATCCCAATCTTGAAGGGGTAGTACAGGAAATTCACCCAACCAGGGCAAAACCAGTCCATACGCTCATTCGCCGCCGGAAAACGGATAGTCGCAGTAGGGGGAAAGCCGGCAGAAGTCTGAATAAGTTCTACTTGTTCCTCAGTAAGTTTTGCTTGTTTAGCACTTTTGGGTTCGAGGATGTATTGCGGAACGAAGCCTAGGGAAGCCATGGGAGCTGACGGGGTGGTTGCAGAAGAAAGAAGAGAAAGGGGTTTCGAAGAGGGAAGAGGAGTATGGCGAGTGATTCGGTGGATATAATTATGAGTATGAGAAAGTAGTCGGCTACACAACTTCCAAGACGGTTTGGTTTCAAATTCGAAGTAGAAATTGGGCAGACGATTCGTTTCTCTCAGCGCCAATTACTCCATCGAATTGGGGGCAATTGTTGGGCCAGGAAATTTCCGTCAAATGAAGAGGCCCAGCGGTGGATTTATGAGTTAGGGCATGCGGCCCATTTTCCAAGAAGTATAGACGAAGTTCAGCAATAGGAGTCCAGTTCGGTCAGGATAAGATTGAATCATACTTGGAGCAAAAGAAATGGCTTGACACGTTCAAATGCAGTGCCGCCTATTCCGGTGGGCAGTTGATGAGGGAGAAGCTCGAGGAAGCTTTATTTAAGAAGAACAGTTTGTAAACATACATTCATTCGAATACGAAAAGAGAGAGCTACTAATTCCTTTATTTCCAGTACTATCAATAGAGTTCACTTTACATAGCTATTCAATAAATTCATTACAAAATTCCATCCGATTACTCACACAATTTCTTGTGCGAAGCCCCATAATTATTTTCATTGTTGGAAGGAATTGTTAACTTCTTGCTAAAACAGGTGGGTAATAGGAGTATTATGAGGGAGGGATATTTATGACATTTCAAGCAAAAATATGGGTAGAATAAGAAGTGTAGTGTTTATTGTGGTACTACCAAAAAAGGAAAGTGTGAAGATAATTGTGAACTAGAGGGAGTATTTGTGAGTGAAAAACATAATTATAGTGCTAACATAACTCTTTATATAAATTTAAGGATAAATAGTTTGAAATGTTTATCTAACACAGGTGCTCCCTAACACTGCCGGACCCGGTTCTCGACTAGGATTGCCCATAGTCCGCCTAATCATGTCATCCGGTCTCGGTTCATCCATTTGGGGATCGAATCGGGTGATTTTGGTTTGAATTTCTGTCCAGGATCAGCCATATTTCTGGCTTAAAAACGAGGGGAAATGAAAAAGAATAGAACAGGGCCGGGTCCGACTGCCTGGGTATCGAGAATTAACTGGGTTGAACCCGGGCTTCTCCTACGAACTATCAGGACCGGATCTACCCCTACTTCTGTCCAGATTTTTTGAATTTAAACTAACTTTTAGTCCATCACGCCTTTCTGAATGTAGGCACCATTCAAGGACTATGTTCTATGTCGATTGAAACGAAAACGAGACAAGAGGTCTTCAATTTTGGAGAGGCACTCAAGAGAAGCCGCAGACATTAGTGATGTCATTGGCAAGCCACTTTTCGGATTTGAGGAATATGCAGTTCCAAAAAATCAACCAATTGAACATGAGCATATTGAAGATTCAATCACTATTTTGCAGGAGATAAAAAGTCAACGAATTGGAAATGGGCATATTGAAGATTCAATCACTGTTTTGCAGTAGAGAAAAAGTCAACCGATTGAAAACGAGAATGTTGAAAATTCAACAACTGTTTTGCAGCAAAGGAAGATTCAACCAGATGAAAATGAGCATATTGAAGATTCAAATACTGTTTCACAGCAGAGTAGAGGAAGTCAGGAAACTAGTAATTACTCATATTATTATGGGGAGTTAGATTTATTCCCTAGATCCCCGGGTTTTCGTTAGATTTAAAACTTTTGCTACAAAGACTTCGAAAAATTGGACTACTTAAGGGGTTTGATAGAGCTTGTATAAATTGGACATTCATAGTGCATTTGATAGGAGCCCAAGTTTTTTTCTATCCTATAATACAACCAATCTCAAGTTTTTTGCAATTCAACAAATAGGAAAAAAGAAAGAAAATGTGAACTTGAATCTACATAGTTATTGACTTATTATTACTAGCTGAGGAGACTAAACACAGATGATATTCATGCTTTTACATGTTGATGTCGTAGAGATCGGAGAACAGTTTAGTAGTAGAGGGGAATATCTTGGGTTTCTTCCTTTGTGCTGAAAGAATGTGAAGAAACTGTCCACTGGGCTCCGAGTGAAACGCTTCTCTGCAACTTGCTAGTAGTGGATGAAGTACTAGTGTGGCTGTCATGGGATAGTTTCTCCAAGGCTTTAAACCTAGGATCACCATTTGACTGAAAAGTACTATCTCTGCAACTTCCCGTTGTGGATGAAGTACTAGTGTGGCTGTCATGGGATAGTTTTTCCAAGGCTTTAAATCTAGGATCACCATTTGACCTTGCAGACATAATTGCAGCTGGAACCTGCACTTCCATCTTCCCATCTAGCATCTTAACCACTGAAGACATGGATGGCCTGAGAGTTGGTGATGGATTGGCACATAATAGAGCCAACTTTAGCATCGTCAGTGCTTCTTTTTCAGAATAGGTTGAACCCAGGCTTTCATCCACAATATCCAACAGATTTCCTTGTTCTTCTAGGACATAGCCCTTCATTTTACACATAAAAGAATACTATCAAGAAAGCTATATAATTGGAGAAAGAAAGGGGTAAAAGGGAATTATGAGTGTGAGCCCATTTGTGTTGAAACAATTGCAAAAATACTAAACACCCTAACACCATATTGAGTTGGCTGAGCTTTCCTGCTCTTAAAATTGATTTTTTATTTTTACCATGAAATGACAATTCTGTCCTACTTTTATTGTTTTACCCCATGCAATAAATTACTGCATATCTTTTTAGGCAAGTAAACATTCAATCAATCATTTTAATAAAAAAACTAACCATATACCTATAATTAATACTTTTCAGTCAGTTCAGCTATCACCAAAGGGGCTCTAAGTTTGAGAGTCATATATGCACTTACCCAATCAAGAAGATACACAAACTCCTCTTTTGGTCTGTAATTCGTGTTACTTTTTCCACTAACAATCTCCAATAAAACTATTCCGAAGCTGTAAACATCTGCTTTGTCTGTCAAATACCCCCTCATTGCGTATTCTGGAGCCATATAACCTCTGTAATGTAAGGCAGATGAACAAGAGGGTAAATATTTTATAGAACACAGAAATACGGGAGAAAGTAGAGAGGACAATAGAGAGTAAAATTAGATAGAAAGAAAATTTGGTGAGAACGTATGTTGGAACTCAATGTCCTTATTTATATCTTACTCCATATATAAAATGCCATGATATTCTAAGTGTATGCGAAAATGTTTTACATTGTTCCAGCAACTCGCGTGCTAATGTGGGTATTCTCTTCTTCATCAAGCCTAGCCAAACCAAAGTCTGAAATTTTAGCACTTAGATCTTTATCAAGTAGCACATTGGAGGCCTTGATATCTCGATGGACGATCTTCAACCTCGATTCCTCATGAAGGTATGCCAACCCCTTAGCTATTCCTATGCATATTTTCTTCCTAGTTTCCCAGTCTAGTCTCAACCTCTGATCCTCGCGTCCTATGATAGAAAATAAATAAATAGCAAGAAAATGGAGTGGATATCATTGGAATACTTTGAATAAAGAGATCCTATGGCTATACCAAAAAGGGCTCGAGAAAGAGAGTTGTTTTCCATGTATTCATATACTAGCAATAATTGGTTTCCTTCTATGCAACAGCCATAAAGTTTCACTAGGTTTGGATGTTGCAAAGCTGTTATCATTCCTATTTCATTGAGGAACTCCTTGTTTCCTTGTTTTGACTTGGAAGAGAGTTGCTTGATAGCAACAACTCCACCATCCGAAAGAATACCCTGCAATCAAATGTGATTGTCAATCTATCCATGATTCAATTAAGATTAAACATCCTTAATAGCTGCAAAAAAATACCAATATTATCAAATTTCATCAATAATTAAAAAATATACTGTCAAGATAGATTGTAGTTACCCAAAGTTGTATAAACCTATACGGTCATACGGCTAAGCAAGTAAGATCATTAGTATCGAATATGACATCAAATGTGTCCAAAACTTTGCAAGGGTTTTCGTTCTTCTTTAGCCCAAATATGCAGAAGAGCAATTCAACTGTAAAAACCATCTTTTCTCACTTGAAGGCAATTTGAGTATATACCTTGTATACGGGACCAAATCCTCCTTCTCCAATTTTATTAGCCTGGTCAAAGTTATCTGTGGCAGCCTTGACCTGTCTTAGAGTGAAATAACCTGTCTGCAGATCAAGTGTTCTCAATCCTTTCACAAAAAAGGCTGGTTAGTAGACATGTCTGGAAAAACTAATAGTAAAAAGACATGTCTTGAAGGGCTAATCATCTAAGAAAATCCCAACTCTCAACTTTTCTCTATTCTTGCATATGCATAGAAATTGAGCAAATATTTCATTTTTTATTTGTAAACAACCACATAAAAACAGAGAAAGTGACCAAGGGACATTCTAGTTACCAATTTTGTAGAACTTGCATTTGCATACGGAATATATTTTTTGCACGTGTATGCTAGATTAGTAAATAAAGTTAAAAGTTGGGGATTTATTTTGGTACTTGACAATAATTTTATAAATAGAGCACAGTAAATGTATTTCAGAGGTAGGTATTACCATTGCCTTCTTCAACTTTCCCCCCCAAATACCCTCTCATCCTCAGAACAAATATGATTAACAGGAGGAACACAAAACAAGAAATGATGATGCCAGCTATTGCTCCAACACTTAAACTTTTCTTGATCTTGAACTCTACATGAACGAAGACGAGTTTTCTCAGAATTTATGGTGAGAGAAGCATAAAGCTTAAGGATACAGTGACAGTACTTACTTGGAGTGACTGTAATGGCAGAAATCAAAGGTCCATATACACTTCTCATAGGAATAGCGTTCGTTCCCTTTCCAGTCCAATATAAGTGTATCTCTAGGCTGCTACCATTGACAAGAACATTGTCAAAATCTTTATATATACCAATCCCAGGACCCTTTGCTTCCTCCACAATGTTAAAGTCTGTCAATACTACATTCCCCTACAAAAGAGTTGAAGAAGGCCAAATTAGCATAGTTTCTTGAAAAGCTTATGTGTGGTTTTAGTCCCTATACTTTTTGTTTTAGGTTCGTAGATTTTTTTTTGCTTATATCCCGGCTATATATGCTATTTTAATTTTGAGAAAAAGTCTAAGTATGTCATTCTAGCTGTTTTACAAGTTTTAACCTCCAAAAGCATGTCATTCTTGGGAAAAAGAATCAGAGACATATCTGACCCTTTTCCCAAAAATTAAAAAGGTCAAAGCCTACAAACTTTTTGCGGTTTATGGAATTATTTGTATATTATACATCTCTTGAATATTTTTACATTCTAATTCTACATTTTTTACGTTTTAATTTTGTTATTTGATTTTTTATTTTAACATTTTCTTAGTTGCTTATGTATTTTAAAAACATTTATAGTTTTGTGAATTGTCTAAAAAACATTAAGTGGCCTCTTATAGAAGGTAGAAAACCGGTAAAAGCTCAGAATTAACTGTTTCTAAATAAGTGTGTTTATATGATACACTTTTTAGTAGAGGAGTTTAAATGATATATTTCATTCCCTTTTGTTTGTAGTTTCTCTAACTTCGGGGAATCTCCTCAGAGAAAAAACTAATGTTACCTAAATAACTATGCACATCAACTTAACCTTTTGGAGACTCTTACAGAAGTTAAGGCTATGTGAAGCTAAACCATTCACTTATACGCGAAGCTAAACCATTCACTTATATGTGAAGCATTGTTTAAAAATGATATGATGCGAAAATGAAAGATAGAAATATTGTTATTAGTGATGGTTTTGTTGCAAAGATGAAATTAGAGACCAAAAACCTATTTCAGCTTTCTTTGAAGTGATTAACCCTTAGGTTGTGTTTGATGCACAAAATGTAAAGATTATCGTAGGTAATAGGTCTCAATGTAAGATTTCAAGGGCCCAAGATTATATCAAGTTTAGGACTTACTTGGATTGATACATCAAATAATCGCCTCCCAAGACTTTTATATGTGGAGTCATTAGAAAACATTATTTCAGCAAAGTGAAGGCGCACTTTATAACTCCCTTGTTGCATGCAAAACCCGTAATACTTGAGTGAAAAGGGAGCAAGCCGAGCTGTTTTGTAAATATCAGCAATGCCCGTGTATGAAAACATGTTTGTTGCAATATATTTGGTGTTATCCTTTGTGATGAACACTCCTGAGCTGCTGAAACCCCATCTATCTGATGCAAAGAAGGAAGACGAGCCTCCTGCCATTAAGTCATCCTCATATGTTTCACCATGGAAGGTTTTTGGCCCTCCACAATTTATATAGAGGGAATGATCTGCAGACAAAGTGATCCTTATAAGATGCTGTTTCAGTGTTTCACATTACCAGAGCTCGTTTCATAAAGGTTTATTTGGCTGAAACAGCAGAATCAGCTAAATTTTCAGATGATAAGCGGCGTATGTAAGAATTGGCTACCAAACGGAGAGTGTTGATACTTATCATTTGTGTTCATAATTACATAGAAACAAGAGAGTTGAAAGGCATACACCGTGCTCCTCCTTGGCAAGGGAGTTCCTTTTTTGAACACCAATCACCACTACAATAATCCATACATTAGAATGTATCAAATATGTTAAGTTGCAAACTAAGTGAAACAAAATGAGCATTAATGAATAATAATGCAACTTACGAGTCTCTCTTCACAACTGAATAGCTAGAAACTAAGTTCCTGTCTCAAAAAACAGTGCAGTCTAAGTAATACATGATGTCGCAAGTTCAGCTACATAATAACGGGGACTAGACTTACATTTTGGAGGACAGACACCCGCTTGCAGATGACTCTGTTAAATTGTTGCAGGATAAATCACTGCAAAATCAATTTTATGCAAAACTGAAAAATAAGAACCATCATGAATTCATGATTTTGTTGGATAAATTATGACAAAACAAAGCAAAATAACTTTACCAAACTAGTGGTTATACTAACATGGAATACATGCTGTCACACATCCATCTGGGGATCACTCCACTTAACATGTTATGCGCCAGAAGCCTAAACTCCAAGAAATGTTGTGTAAATATAAATTTAAAAAAACATTAGAGCAATTTTCTATAAATTATTCCACCAAACATAAAAGCAGAACATATATTATGCTTATAGTTACTTGTTTTGCTAAAGGACATCCGTCAAAGTGAGTAGTAAAGTACAATACAAAATTTGAAGATGATGAAAATGGAAATAACAAATTATTGCATCTTAATAAGCACGGAAGGGAAAAGGGTCAAATGCATAAATAGTACTTTAACTATTGGTAATGTTGCATTTTGGTACCTTAACTCTTAAATGAATCAAACCAGTACCTTAACTATACATAAATGTTTCGAATTGAGATTTTATTCAAATTTCCGACCAAAAAATTACATGCGGCGGCCAAAATTCTATGCGTAAAGTCTACGTTACTTCACCTTATTTTTGTCCACATGATCACTATAGGATGACTCTACCCATGAATTTTTTATCGTCATGAAAGGGTTTTTGGTCTAAAATTTGAACAAAATCTCATTTCGAAACATTTATGTATAGTTAATGTAACATTTTGATTCATTTAAAAGATAAGGTACGAAAATGCAACATTACCAATAGTTAAGCTACCATTTATGTGTTTGACCCGCACGGAAGTGTAATGTACTTACACATTTTTAAGTCTTTTTTCTGTAACTTCTGGGATTGTACCAGTCAACATGTTGTAACTAAGATCTCTGCAAATGGAAAGATAAGACTTCAATAACTGAGTGAATTCCAATAAAAAGTAAAAATAAATTGCCGGAGATGTTTTTCATTTTTATTTTATTGACTTTAACTCTCAAAAGGTCATAATGCCCAGGCTTACTTTATCATAATCATTGGTGAGAAGTTCCATCACAAAATACAAATACGGCATGGTTTTTATTTTATTCAGCTAGAAATAACTATATGATTAGTTAAATTATGTATTTCTATGTTAATTTATATCTTCACTTTATTCTTGCCCACTTAAATGTGGATGTTATTTTTTTAAAAATCACCTCTCCCCTGCAAAATCTGACAACCAAACAAGCCTTAAGATATCAAGTGTGACAAGTCATCAAGAAAAATATGAATTCTCACTAGAAATGAACTCACAAAGTTTTTAACTGGACCATATCTCCAATGTATTCTGGTATTCGACCAACAATCGAGCAATTCCTCAAAACTCTGCATTCATAAGCGCATAGAAGTTTACCGTAACATCAAATAGAAGATTGGGTTTCTAGCCAAAAAAAAAAAAGTTTAAGTGTTCCCTACTCACAATGTTTTAATGTTTGCTATGCCCTGCAAGTTTGGGAATTTCCTGCTTTGTCCTCTTAAACCATAAATTTGCCTGCAAACATCAATCACATTAAGGTTTTATTTCCTTAGGGAGATTTGCTCCTTTTGTTCACAACCAGGTTTAGTTGGAGGGTCTTCAAATGAAACAATAATAAGTATCTTCATGTAAAAGTAGTCATAATGAGCAAAATTAACAATTAACAAAACATAAAGACAATTCAGAAGCAAAGTAGTACTCACAATATTTGTAGGTTTTTCAACAAGGATATATTCTGAGGTATTGCCCCCCCTAGCAATGTTCCTTGCATGTACCTGAATCAATTCGACAACTCTCTCAATCAAGACAACTTATCAACTCTAGCAAGGATATATTCTTCAGCAACTTACAAAGTAGTTAGGTTCGTCCAGTTGCCAATAAAATAAGGAAAATTACCAGATATTGGATTCCCATCGATCCTACTGCAAAACAACAAAAGCTTGCTCTATCAAATTCAGTCCTTATTAAAAAAATCAAATTCAATTCTTGAAAACAAACATATAGTCTTTAAACTTTTGACACTTACAAATCTATCAAGTTCTTAAAATTGCCAAAAGATTCTGGTATACTTCCACTGATATTGTTTGCAGATAGAAGGCTGCAGCAAAGTAGTGTGAATCAGACTACAATTATTTTGGCTAGAATATATGTTCCCCTACATATAAGGCTTTGAATTATTCTTTTTGACAGAATCTCATACGGAGTATGTTATTATTGTATCAGTCTATTTTATCAGATGATAGAATCTCACATCTTACTATTGCATCGGTCCCGCAATATGTTCAAATGAGCAATTGATCAGACTAGTACTAAAGGAAGTACACAGATTTTAAGTCAGTATGTGTGATAGAGATCATCATTATAAGTACAACTTTTGATCCGTTTTACTTACAGTCTCTTTAAGCTGCCCAAATTTCCAAGTTTTTTATCAAGAGATCCTCCAATCTCATTATCTTCCAAAACTCTAAGCAATCAAAACATAATTATAATAGACATTAGGTACCATCAATTTTCATAATGGGGTGACGAAAAATACATATTTAAAGCTCCGCTTACAGCTCCTCCAATGTAGTTATGTCACCTATCTCTCTGGGTATCTTCCCACTTATGCGGTTTCCCGAAAGTGACCTACAGTCATGCAAAACATTAACAGAATAAGATGAGATAGGTCATACAGAAAAGTATTGAGAAAGAGATATTACAAAATTGTGAGATTGCGGAATTGGCCGAAGGTAGAGGGAATTGTTCCATTGATGTAATTGAGAGCCAGATCTCTGGAGAAGAAGAAAACAAACAAACATCAGTATAAGCAAATGTAGAGTTTTTTATCATTTTTGAAAAAAATACACCTCCAGAAATAATAAATGTTGTAAGAAGTGCATTTGTTTTAAGATTGCAAAGTTACTCCATTTTTTTATTAAAAAGAATAAGTAGGTAGTATTTGTTATACACGTCCACCAATGCATAAAACTTTACACTATTTGTTGTGTTAAACCAAGTAACCAACCTATACGGGTCAAATGCTACTGTATAACATGAAATCTAAATTTAATTCTTGATAAATTACTAAATTAAGAACTTAATAATCATAGTTTATTTTGATAACAAGAGTATCAATACCCACATTTGGCGGAGAGCGGTAAGATTCACGAACTCTGGGGGAAGAACTCCCTGAAGATTAAGATTTTTCAACAAACTGCATCATTACCAAATGATCCAAATCATGAAGTTAGTTATAAGAGGTGTGTTATATCAAATATGTTCTCGCTTATTATATGAAAAAAAAGACCAATTCAAAAGAGGTGGTTGTAAGCAACTAACAGAAGAATGTCTTACATGTCTGTAACATGGCAGACTGTATTGCTATTGAAATTGCAATCGCAATCTATACGCTTGACCTTATCATACATACTATCAGCAATACAGCTGTTCACAATAGAACCGTTAATGCAAGATGTCTGAGCAACATTTGGAAACGCGTTCCCTAGCTTTGCAGATATTGTATTAAGCACTTGAACTGTGACAGCAGCACACAAACCAAAGTCAAAAGCATGTTATGAGTGTTAGCACAATTTTAGAACTTAACAAATGACATCTAAGTTTACATATTTCCCAGTTAATTTGTTGGTTTTCAATTTCACAAAAAGTGTGCTGTACTATACAATGAAAAACACTTGGCATAGGGTAAACAGATGGAAAAATATATCTTTCAAAAAGTGTTTCTAAACTTTCTTTTTCGCAGATTACTATTATTTCAACACAAAAATCAAACTAATCATTTGTGTCTGATGTACCCCGTGAAAACTAATTATTCAGTTCAAAAATATTCTTGGAACACTCAAAATACGTTTTGTCTGGACAAAAAAAGCCTACATGGAGTTTCAGTTTGTCAAAGTTTCTAAAAGTGTGTACACCAAAAAGTGGGTACCCCAACTCCAACTCTTATTCAATTCAATCCAGCTTGAGGTACACATTTTCATACACTGACCTACACACTCATGTATATGATTTTCTTTTTGATTTATCCCATTAAGACTTCTCATATTAAATGTGATTACACATCATTGTTACTTTATCAATAAATATCAACCACATATATAAATTTTTCTTAATAATCACAACATCCCTTCTTGTCCCATGGTTAGTAAACTGAAGTAGTACTACATGAGCCCGTTTGGAGACCTCTTTTTTCGGCTTATCAGGCTTATCAGCCAGCTTTTTCACCAAACACGTAACTTTTACTTTTGTATGCTGAATTGTGTAATAAGCAGAAAAAGTAAGGTTGGAGTTACTTTTCTGGCTGTATTGGCTGAAGTTACTGTAGAGGACTATTTTAGCTATTTTTACATGTAATTTTTTCTATAATTTATTAATAAAATATATTTTTAAAATATTTTTTTCTTGAATCAGCAGAATCAGCCAAAACAGCCACTTCAGCCAGAATTTCATAAATTTCAGTAGAATCAGCCAAAACAGCCGATTTTCGTGCTACCAAACGGGCTTCATATGTGCAACAACAACAAGAATAATTATGTGTTGTCCGTTTGATTTTATATTTATTTATGAAGTCTAATACACTCCAATTCTACTAATCTCTAGGAATTAGTTTGACAACATTGAAATTGATTGAATTGACTGAAATTGATAAAATTCCAAATGAAGCGATAGAATTGGTTGAATCTTCTGAATTATCAAAAAATTATATTTAAAATACTTTATTAATAAAATAAATAAATAAATAAATAAAAAATTGAAATGAATAATTATAATAACTCAGTCAATTTAATCAGAAAATAAGTAAAATCTTATTTATTTTTATTAAAAGATACATATTATACTTTAATAAAACAAATAATTAAAAAAACTAAATATATAATCATGAAGTCAAAAAATTAAACACGGAAGTGGTGATACATTAAAAAGATGAAACTCTATTTGTACAGATGGCATCTATACCACGTCCCGATCAGTGGACGCATCCATAAGCAGTGTCAGATCAATGATGTAAAAGATATTTAATTACATTCATATGTGTCCGTTGATACTTGGCACCACAGACTTCGATTTGTTCACTGTCAAAGGTGTTTGGTGATGTTCACCCACTAAAGGTTGTCGTGGGTGATCTAACATCTAAATTTATCTTGAGTGTTCGAAATTATTTTACAATTAAAATTATGGGTAATAATATTATTTAATCTTTCAAAAAAAAAAGTAATAATATTATTTAATGATAAAGTTGCACACATAAATCTTTCCGAAAATAGGAAATAAAGTTCAAATTACAAAGTACTCCGTATTATATTACTTCTTCCGTCCCTTATAGTTATCTCATTTTTCTAATTTTGAATATCTCGCTATTATTGTTTCATACTCCCTCCGGTTCTTTTTAAACTTCACACTTTCCTTTTTGGGACGGTCTAAAATAAATTTCTCATTTTCTTATTTCCTTATTTGGCAAAGAAATCTACATCAAAACAGTGCCAAACAGTGTCTAAACAGTGTCAAACAGTGTCTCAATAGTGTCAAACAGTGTCTCAATAGTGCCAAACAATGTCTCAACAGTGTATTCTACAGTAAAATCAAATTTATTTTCTAAATCAATGTGAAGTCAAATTGTGAAGTTTAAAAAAATCCGGAGTATGTTATTTGAAGAGTAAAATGTAAACTTAATAAGGAATAATAGGGATGTACTTAAGTACGGTTAGTTTTTTGCTTTTTGATTGTTTGGTTGCTTTATACGGAGTAATAAAGTTGCATTTGTCAGTCTTAGTTAGTGTGTCACTCCATTCTGTCCTGATAATAGGACATAGAATAGTACAATAAATTATTATATGGCAAATTTTATACATTTAATATTGCAATTCTAATTCATGCTACTTGCCTTATTGTTTAGCAATTGTTTCTTTTCATTTTTAATACGTAGTACATTATTGGATATGAAAAATTGAAAAAAAATTCCAACTAAAAGTAGATATTCAGAATTTCCAACAAAAAATGTAGAACCCAAATTGAATACAGAAGCACCCTTTAATTTTCGGTGATTTTTAAAAAGTTACGAGGGAAGTAACTCACCATAGAAAGAGATGTTACTACATAAGGGATTAGTCTCACATTCAATCCCAAAAAAATAGGTGTCGAGTAATGTCATTCTCAAAATTTGATCTCATATTTTTGCATTCCCAAGATTTAACCTTACTCTCTCCGTCCCGAATTATAAGATACTTTTCGGTTTATGATGTTTGACCGACGATAAACCAAACAGATCTCTGTCTGCACTCAAATTATTTTTAGAAAAAATTACATATTCAGAAACTACATTCTGAATAGTACAATAAATTATTATATGACAAATTTTATACATTTAATATTGCAATTCTAATTCATGCTACTTGCCTTATTGTTTAGCAATTGTTTCTTTTCATTTTTAATACGTAGTACATTATTGGATATGAAAAATTGAAAAAAAATTCCAACTAAAAGTAGATATTCAGAATTTGTTATTGATATTATTGGAAAGATCATTCAAATTATCAAATTATCATTTTGATGTAGTATTTTTTTAAAAAAATTGAATTATAATTAAAAATATTATAAAAAGCAATGCCACATGGCAGCCATGGAGACATGGGGTGATGTTCACCCTCTTTAGAGGAGGTGAACAACATTGCACTCCATACCATATGCTTTTTACATTTATTTACCTAACAAAGGCGACCCAATAACAAGTTTGATCGAAATAAGAATTAATAAAGTAAAAACTATTTAGTTGAGGTTGTGTAGGGGAGAATTAATTGAAACTACAAATTTCTTACCTAAGACGAAAAGTGATAAAGTTAGTAAGAAAATTAAAAAATTCAAAAGTTGACAAAATTCTAAGGTAGGGAAAAGTATTATACGGAGTATTAATTAAATTTCAAGGTACGAAATCAATGGAAGAAATAAGAGGTGCATAAAAAGTACAGATGAGCTTAAGAGAAATATGCAAATATAGTTTGGTTAAATTCTTTATAACAAAAAATGTAGAACCCAAATTGAATACAGAAGCACCCTTTAATTTTCGGTGATTTTTAAAAAGTTACGAGGGAAGTAACTCACCATAGAAAGAGATGTTACTACATAAGGGATTAGTCTCACATTCAATCCCAAAAAAATAGGTGTCGAGTAATGTCATTCTCAAAATTTGATCTCATATTTTTGCATTCCCAAGATTTAACCTTACTCTCTCCGTCCCAAATTATAAGATACTTTTCGGTTTATGATGTTTGACCGACGATAAACCAAACAGATCTCTGTCTGCACTCAAATTATTTTTAGAAAAAAATTACATATTCAGAAACTACATTAAAACCGCTACAAAACCTGCAAAAAATAATTCAAATTTCATAAAATTTTGATTTATAAAGTAAGAGATTAAGAGTGATTTGTGTTGATGAAGTGAATAGTAAAAATATCTTGTAAAATGGTACCGAAGGAATACTCAGTCTAATTGGCATTAGTTTTAACTTTTAATGCATAGAAATAAACACAACTCTCATTTTTATGAATTTTAAACGTTTTACTTTTATTTAGGGGTAATATTTTTAATGCAAATAAATGTATATATAAAATTACCATGGTATCCCTAATAAAACGGTAAATAAAAGGGAAATTCCCGTTTAAAATGTTATAGAACGGTAAATAAAAGGGAAATTCCCAAAATAGGAGTAAAGCAGTTTGAAAATTTTAAAATAGGACTGTCATGTTTTTATTCCCAAAATATGAGTAATTATTGTCAAATTTAGAAAATACAGTCATGTTTAAAGTCTGCCAAAATAAGGCAGTCCTATTTTGGGAACAATATCTAAATACTTTTCATGTAGATATTTTGGTAATTTCCCTAAATGAAAAGTAATTTCTGCGCTCACAAATACTATCCTCCGTCTCTTTTTAATCGCAACATGTTGAATTTTATACTATTCACATGTTCTACTTTGACTACATTTTATATTATTATTTTATGAAAATTATTTTTTTAAAATTATATTGTTCAATTCATCTCATTACAAATTTTCAAAATCTAATTTTTAAATATTTTTTACTAATGGGGATTAAGATATAATTACGGTCAAAGATGTGTGTTGGCAAATGTGAAATGTTGACCGTTGCAACTAAAATAGAACGGAGGAAGTACAAAAGTAGGACTAGCTCTTACGTACTACACCATATACTCCGTTTTTTTTTGGCACAATACACTCCTTGTTAATTACAGAAAAAATCACGCGGGAACTGAAAATTTCGTAGAAAATCTGTATATAAATTACATTGGCTACTCTCATTTGGATTTTGGCGTTAATATTTTTATCTTAAGAAAGAAGTGCATTAACACTAAAGAACTGAACTGAGAAGAAAATATCGCAGATTTTCAATTCACATATGGAGTATAATTTTGTGGAAAAAAAGAAGAGATTCAATATTTCAATTAATCCAGCACTTAATATTTTTATATGTAAGAAAAAAATTACCTTCTTCTACGGGCAAGAGAGGGGCGGAAGAAGCAGGGCCGGTCCTAGGGGGAGGGCAGCAGGGGCGACCGCCCTAGGCCCGAAAAAAAGTAGAAAGAAAATTAGGCCCAATTTTTTTCTTTATATCTAACCTGAGTATGCTTCTTCTTTTTATTTATAATTTCAATTAATTAATTAGGCCTAATGTGTAATTTTTGTTGACAATTTGAGAATCTTAAAATATAAGTAAAAAGTCTTTAACGGAGCTAGACGAGTTTTTAAAAAGAATATAAATTTAGTTTTGATTTTTAAATAGACTTGGTTGTAAGTCAACACATTTGTTGCTGAATCAATAAAAGCGTGTCTCTTCACATCTTTTTAGCTTTTAAGATTTTTTATTCTTTTAATTACAAAATTACCAATTTATATTATTGTCTTTGGGATGCCAGTGCCTCCCAAT